AAAAAAAAAAGAGGAAGAGTGGAATGGTGGGAGTAAGGAATGAAAGAAAAGAGAAGAGACAGGACAGACAACACAAGTGCACCACTGTAATTGGTCACACTGTAAAGCTTCAATAGCTTTGTGTTTCAATAAAAAACAACACAGAACATGAAATATAATCAAATAGAAAAGAATTGCTTTATTCAGTTTTTTCTGTACATGTCAATGGAATGTATTTACTTTTAAGACACCACCAGATGCTTAACAATAAAATACAAACTGTTAATCAGACCAGGAAATAACAGTGTAAAGGAGGAAATGCTTGGCTTCAACACAGGCCTTAAGACTCTAGTAGAGAGAAGGCAAGGGAGGGAGAGAACACATGTTCTACTTGCTTCTTTTTATAATGTACACCTTACACTTTTGCCATCTTATTCCTAACATACTGATCCATTTTAATAATAGAGAGAAGAACCCAAAATATGCTGCTATGCAAAGATTGAAGGCCTTGTTTCAACTGTCAGACTGAATATTTCCAGATGGCACTTTGTTTGAACATACATATCTATTTGTTTCTAAAGGAAGAGGAGCGGTTGTCGGCAGTGCTGAGTAATAATGTCGCTCAATCAGCGCTCTCATTATCTAGCCAGCATGACTTCTTAATAAGGTCACGCTCCACCTACTGAAAATAGTTCCCTCCTTTTGAGCTTTCTTCAGGTGCAAAGTGCAGTTAATTAACACAGCAGACCGGGAGAGATGCGCTTGCTATTAATTGGAAAGAAAAAGAGAGAAAAAAAAAAAAAAAGAAAGCAGAGAAAATAAAGCACACGCTTAATTCAATTAAAACAGCCATAATGGCTTTCGTTGTAAGGCCTGAGGATTCCTTTGTTTAGTGGCTTTGTTGAATTCAGCAGGTCCTGCTTGTCTGGAAGTATTAAGCGGACCACAGTATGGCCTTTCTCTCGCTCGCACAACTTTCACAAAATAAAGTTTTGACTAGATGATTAGCGAGTTAAATGAGAAACGAGTTCACTATAATAAAGTGTGACAATGGTAAAAATGTAACAATACATATACGTGTGTTTTTGCTCTTTATTACGTGAAAGAAAACTTACTTGTATTTCTAGCTGCTGTACGACTTGCATTTGGACTCTACACTGGGCTGTGCTCCGATCATCGAGGGCATGTTCACTGTTTAGGTGCCTGGAGGTAGAGGGAGGGACAGACGGACAGAAAGACAGAGAGAGAGAGATTGTTACATACCAACTTTAAAAACCTATAAAATGTGTCAAAGCTAGAAGCAGGCAGGACATTTTATTCATTTTCACCATGATCAAAATTATGGAGGATGATAATTACAGTATCAACTTCACCACTGGTTTGTTTTAATGATAATATTTCTATACTGGGACAATTATCTATAGGATCCTGTTAGGAACCATTGTTCCACTCTGAAATGAGGTAATTAGAAGTAACATGACGGTGTGTGGTGCCATGTTTAACATGACAATAGGCCTACGTCAGTTTAGATGGCTAACTTCAGTGCCACCCTGAGCGCTGCTTTCTACAGAGAATAAAAGATGCTAGCCCAGCAGAACGGCTTTGTCTCCTTCGTTTACCGAAAACAATACACACAATTTAACACCAGCAACATTTGACACACAAAAGCAGCTCTTCGACTGAAGGTGCATTATCTAGCGGCAGACATATTAAATGTATCTGGTGTGTTCGCCTCATTAGAAGAAAAAGGCAGCCAGACAGCCATAACAGTCAATGAGGGTTTTTGTCTTGATTGGATTTCGTCTGTAGGACACAAAAGAGCCTCACCATTAAGACAGACCTTTATTCCTGGTAAAGCACACATATGCAGAGACACACATACACACAAATATGGGGCGAAAAGGGGTTTCTAAAGTGTTGTGATGCTGGGTAATGAGCCTCTATCTAAATGATCATTGGTGACAAACTCACAAAGCAAGCTTTGAGGAGGCATGCTTATGAAATGCCAGAGCTGCCACTTTATCTCCAGTAATTATAGGTTAGCTTGCAGACCCTTCAATGATCATTTACAGCGCTGCCTCCAGTGCATTAGAGGGAGTACAAAATCTCTCTCTCACTGTGGCTTTCACTTTATCTAAGAACACACACACTCGCTTGCATTATCATGAACTCGCACAAACACTGATTGGCACACAAAAAGCACACACACTGATACACAAACACGCAGAAATGCACACTCCCACCACATATTCCTCTATTCTCTTCCCCAAACCCCTCACTTCTTGTTTATCTGCAATGTGCAAAACAAGAACTCATTGAGCCGGCTTCTCTTGGCCTGCCAATCAAAAGCTGAATAGAACATTTGTAATCACAATAGCTCTGTACCTTTCAATTAAACTGCACACATTTGAAATCATTCCATCTCATCCCTGCTTATACTTTTTGTAACCATTTCAGGTCTAATGTTCAGAAATGTTTCATTATAAATCAGGAATGAGAGTGGGATGGATGAGGGATAGCGGCGGAGAGGGGAGGGACAAACTAGTGGATTTCTCCAGCCCTGTGCCTAATTGCTGTTTCAGAATGCGCATGCAAAAAGGGGGCATTACATTAATCATTTAATCACGTCCCTTGCAGGATGAGGGAACTAATGTTGCAAATACCCTTTTCATTTCACTGCCCATAATGCTATCTTATGCACTTGATGTATGGCGTGTGTCATGAATTACAGCTGCTTCAAAAGCAGAGCCGCCTGCTCGCTGTCCCTGAAGATACCTCATTACAAAAAAAAAAAAAAGAGAGGAGAGGAGAGGAGGAAAATCTTTATTAAGTTTGCCTCACAATGACAAGCAGCTTGTTTTTATGTTATTTTGTCAATGTGTGTGTGATTGTGCAAAGGCCTTTCGACAGCCCTCCAGCCAGTTATTTTCCTACACACACACACACACACCACAACACACACACCTCTTCCACTGCTGGCCAGTTAGCGAGGTGATTACAGGAAGATTACGACATGCATTTATGAAATATTCAAATGGCAGCATGTCCTACTGTGCATTAATAATGCCACACAAAGGCAAAAAAGGAGGGGGGGGGGGCACAGCTAGACAGACAGAAAACAATAATGAAAGACACCTTATTTAGTGAAATGTGGGCAAAGAAGTACTTTGTGTTTCTCTCTTCTTTGAGCATAAACTGTCCTTTCTAATGTACTAAAAAACTTTCAATCTCCTCCGAGCATTCAGAATTCAGATTCAGAAATACTTTAATAATCCCAGAGGGAAATTATATAATATATATATTCTTCTATGCTCATAAGAAAATTGTTATTACACTGTAGCTCTGATCTTTGCTGCCTTTTGGTTGCCTCTAATCATAAACAAATCTAAATAATTTGTTGGTGATCATGTAAAAATAAAATATAAAGTCAGAGAGACTCATCCTAACTGTAAAATCCAGGTGTAATCTTTTCAACCTAGAGGTGGAGGATACACGTCTCACTGTCAGGCCTGGCTGGCTACTGTTTGTTTACTGTTCATGCCTCGTTTTAGAGGAACATTGATTTCTGCCTTGAAGAGGGAATTGCTCATGTGATGAAGGCCTTGAGAGAACAGGGAAGAAAAGATTGAGATTGAGAGATGTAGCAAAGGTAGAGAAATCAGAGCAAATAACAGCGACTAAAGAGACTGATAAATAGAGGGTGAGGGGGAGGGAGAGCCGTTGTTTTTCAGCCCCCAGATAAAGACATATTTTTTTATTGGACGCTGCAGTTTCTCTCTTCTCTTAAAGAGAAGGGAACAAAACACCTCAAAGGTTTTCCCCCACAGCTGTGTATATGAATATGTATAGGCCATCAACGTCCACTAAGGGCCCAATAATAAATCTATTCAAGCTAGAATATCAGGATGATATACTTCTACTAATTGTCTGTGTGTATTATCAGGGGCTACAAAGGCCCAGCAGAGAACAGCAAGTTAGGCCCCGTAACTGTCTACACGTGGCACACAAACACACACCAAACTAATGTACACACGAAAAAGTATACACACAGCCATATGTAACTACACACACACACACACACTGTGCACCCACTAACACGCATAAACAAGCACATATACGCAAGCATAGACGTATATATGTATATAAACACAACAACCAAAAAAACCTCCCATCCACCCCCAACAGCACAAGACCATGGGGGTTTGAGATGGGGAGCTCACTGAGGCCCCCAGGGCCATGGGGCCCTGAACCTGACCTTCTCAACAGTGTGGTGTAATATGTGTGTTGTGGTGTGTGTGTGTGCGTTACGCAGAGAAGAAGACACTTGGCTGCTGCCTTGTGGGTTTAATTAGCAGTGGGTTACAGACACCAGCGTTCAGGTTAGCGGCTGAGCTTGCCATTTTAACATGGAGCCTGCCTTCCTGCCAGTAATAAGGGGAGTAGAGTGATGACAGAGAGTGGAAGGAGTTAAGTATGTGTGTGAGTGTGCACGTGTGTGTGCGTGTGTGTGAGAGCAAGTATGTTTATGTGTAGAAAAGCTGTATCTTATTGAGGTGGGACGACATTGATGTATGAGGGTGAAAGGCCAAAGCAGGGGTGACAAGATATGTACGTATCAAACTGGATATGATAATCAAGTTTTTTTTTTTTAAAGCTGAGAGAAGCGTGAAATCAGGAGCGATTTACATCAGTTAGTGTAGTGGTTTATATTAAAACTGCAGTAAGTAAGAAGGAGGTTTGATACAGATAAATATGGCCTTACACAGAAAAACAAATGATATATGTATGTACTTATATGTATATATAAGTGCTAAATGTTCAAGCATTAATTGCATTTTCTATTTTTTTGGTTTACCACAAAAATAGCTCCAGCACATGCACTATTAGCATTAATGTTTCTCCCTCTCTCTTTCTCGTGTAACTAACACAAATACACACACACACACACAAACCCCAACACCCACCACTCAAGAAACATTCCCAGCAATATTATTTCATTTTGAACTTCAGAGAGCTAATTCAGGGTGCCAGCCACCTCGCGGCTACCTTTTCCAGGTGAGAACACTTAAAAGCACACTGAAGAGCTATTAAATGCTGATCTTGACAAGTTTCTTCATGCAACAAAACAATAGATGACTAAACGTGTCACCGCCGCTGAGCTGAGCTCCTACAGGGAGCTGCGAGACGCCAGCTTGACTTGGGCCCCCCCGCCTTCTCCTCTCCTCCCCACACACGTAACCCACACCCAACTACCAACATCTAAACTGTCATCTAAATCTGACACCCGCTTTATGTAACCCCGTTTAAACTGTGCCTGTGTGTGTGTGCATGTGCGCGTCGTGGGTGTGTGCAGCCGACTGGCATCTCCGGAAACATAAAAGGACTCCCTCTGACACCGACAATCACTGCTCCAAGGCACGCCACCGAGCAGCCATCTTTGTTCTGATGACGAGTCTGCCTTCTTTGTTGGTGCTGTTTTCATGTGCTGGCTGGGTTACAGTATGGAGCCAGCCTCTGACTTGCAGGGATGTGTAAAAGGAGGGGGGGGGGGGCNNGGGGGGGGGGGGGGGCTGAACCAAGACACTGTTCTGTTTTGTAGCAGCCAATGTTCTGGCAAGTGTTCTTACAAAACCATCTGCCAACCTGTGTTCTCGCTTTCAAGTTTAAAAGCTAACTGTTTTCTCCCTGTCTGTCTTTCTCGCACTCTCAGTTTGTCTTTACAACCACACATCCTTTTGCATTGGCTTGCCAGCTTACCGGATTCGCAGGCACATGGCTTTATGCAGTGCATCTCTGCCCCTCACCTAAATAACCAGCTAAGCTACCTAGACACAGTATCCTTAGAGCACACAGACTTAGGTTTTGTTTGCATGCGAACAGAGCGTACAGTGCAGAGGGATAGGCTGATGTCTTCTTTAAGTAAGTGTACTGAGGTGATAGGACAAGATATCAGAAAAACCTGCTAATCCGATACATGCTTGCCTTCTCACACACACATTTGTTCCCAAGCTGCAAGGCAAACTCTTCTACCTGGACTAGTGCACATGTAGTCCGGCCTGGACAACGCATTGCACGCAGCAAACTGGCTTTTCATAAGCATGGCTTGTAAAATTATACAAGGTGATGCCTACGAATGTGCTACAGTATGTCCTCTGCAGACAAATGGATAATGACATTGATGTGTATGTGGCACATATTCCACAGGGGATAAGCAAACACACTTGCCAGGCTGTAGTTGTCATATATATTCACCTCTGATTCATTTAAATCCATCGCTCTCAATTATGGTTCCTTTGAGTGTATTGTATGTGTTGAATGTGTGTGAAAATTCATCTTAATGCCATGTCTGGCAGTGTCTTTCAAAGACACAATGTAAACACTATGTTTATTAGAGTCATTTCATTTCACAGATATACCTTTTAGTTTTAATTCATAAGCTGCTGTAGAATTAGTAAAAGCCTGACCTAAATCCTACAGCAGCTCCCAATGGGTGGACTAGTTTCTTCTATCAGTTTTTTTTTTTTTGCTTTCTGCAACTTATTACCGTCACTACTGTAGAGAAATGCATAATTTGGAAAATACGCCGGAACAATGTCCTGATTTCAAGAGTTTATGCGAATTCACATGGACATTTACAGCCCGTGAAAAACACTCACCAGATCGTTATTTCACAGTTAATTACAAATCTAATTAGAATATTCAAATTAAAGCTTTCCCTTTCTTTTCTTCTCTGTGTGAGAGCAGGGAGCCAGGAAAAGAGTGATAGTGAGAGAGAGAGAGAGAGAGAGAGACAGAGAGAGAGAGAGACTCAGTGAGTGGCAATGTGATAACCTGTAATCGGCAGTGCTGCAAACACCTTCTTCCTTTGATGTCCCCCCACTAACATCCAGGCAACAAAGCCGGCCAATTACAAATGAGCTAATTAACTAAATTGTTGATGGAGCATGAAGAGTTCATTCGCTCTGGCGCCTGCACCATGACAACAGTGAATGGGGGCCTTTGTTGTGGAGGTAAGTGTGCGGCCGTGCGAGTTGCCATTAGCTTTTGACGCTTTTTCACAAACCTATCAGGCCCTTCCACACCGGGAAGGAGATTTGTTATGGATCAGAGTTGGTTTGAATCCTGCGCTGCTAGAGCTCAACCCTGTCAACTGGCTGTCTGGAAGGTCAAAATGTGCTCTTTGAAAGGCGGTGATGTTTCCTTTGTTAGGCCCCTCTGTACCCACAGAAAGGAGGAGGTGCTGTGGTGTAGAGGGGTAACTTTTGTGTGTTTCACAATAAAATAGATATTAGCTTCTCATACAGACGTGCACAATTCCACATGCTGTTAACAGGGAGAGGTGAGGAGACATCATCTCCAGCACAACATTTATGTCACAGGGCGTGCTCTTACTTCAAAAACTGTCCGAAGTCCTCGCAGATGTTTTCACAGCCGGGCCACTTACACACACCGTGGCCGTACAGGGGGTGGGTCCCTCCACTTTCTTCATGTAGTGAACTGAAAGAGAGAAGAAAGGGGAGGAGGTCAGATGGGGTTGGTAGCATCAAGTTTGAGGAGGTCTGTGCATGTCAGGTTACAATTGGCAAAGAGGGGTCAAAACAGACTGGTTCAGTAGTATTCTTCACTAACAAAGAACAGATACGATAGACAGAGTACAAGAGAAACATACAAATATCTTGACAGAGGCTGATTCAAACTAATTCAGTGTGCTACCATATCTACATATTCACCTCCTCTCCTCTCATCTAAATACTATGCAACTTCATTAACTTAACTCCAGCTAACATCCCCCAATGGAAATCTAGAGTGAGCCGTAGCTTTGTCTCCACCACAGCCACCATCCCTTCTTGTAAAGCTATTATGGGGGAGGAGGGGTGGACGCTTTCAAGTAAACATTAAAAATCCAGACAGCCATATAATTTTCATCAGGAGATTAATACTCTGTGTAACTTATGTTCTTTGAGGACAAGGGGAGCAGGGGTGCTCTGGCGTTTTTCAAATGGCACCCAAATAAGTTACGACCCTGCCTAGACAGCACATCCTATTAAAGATGACAGTTTAACCTTTAGGCTTGGCACTGGTGTGTGTGCGTTTGCCTGCGTGAGAAAATGCAAGTGTGCTGCGTACAGTGTATGTGTGTGTTTGTCTGCTTATAGCTCATGCCTGTGCATGTGTGGTCGATGACTATGTGCATGCATGCCTATATGTGTGGTCCATGAATATGTGTGTGTGTGTGTGTATGAGCTCACACTGTGTTTTACAGAGGGGGCTTTCCCCACATCGATCTGTGGCATGTTAGTAAGCAGTGCTCCTGACAATACTCCTTGTTCGATCATTATGAGACACCACACACCCCTTGGGACACAGGCAGATAAAAAAAGTATTTTTTTCTTCCTTCTCTTCTCATTCCTCCCTAAGTCTTTCTTTCTCTCTCTCTGTCTTCCTTCTGAAGGTATCTTTTTCAAGCCTCCTTTTAGTGGTACTGGAGAGATAGCATCTACTTTAAACCAATTACACAGCACTTCCACCTCCAGTGTGAGTCTCTACCCAGCATCCACACAGACACACACACACACGCCGCTACCCTAAGTCCTTATTATAATATCGCCCAAGAAAAGCCTTTGAATAATGCATGGGCCAGATAGGCAGATATGTGAACAGTCAGTGTTTTGGTGCTGGGTGCATTTATAAAAGACGCCATCACAAGGATAAACATCCTGGAAACGCCACTCAAGGCATCACATATTCTGTTTACATGACAAGCAAGCAAGGAAGGTAATTTTCAAAAGAGGAAAAAAAAGAGAGAAAACACTAAATACTTAATGTACAAGGAGGTTACCTTGTCTTGCCTGCCAGAGAGGCTTGTTGCAAGTACGCCTGCCTGCATGGCTTCCTCTCCCTGCTTTTGATATCTGTGTGCAAGCTAAGTGCGTTCAATGGCGCACGTGGTCCCCTGGGAGAACAAGGCTTCTTATTTTTTGAATATTACCAAGACACTAATAAACTATTGAACAAATAAACAAAACATCATGTTTCCCTGTTGTAACAATGCTGTTATTTTAAACGAGGACAAATACTCTGTATGGGAGTTATGATTTGTTCCTACACTGAATCATGGCACAAAAAAGCTTGTGTGACATGCTGCTGCAAACTTTTCATATTCTCTGCCTTTATTTCCTTGGTGTATCAAAAAGGTGGGTGGGTGACATTTCAATTATTTTTACCTCTCTCGCTCCCTTTCCCGTTCCCTTTCCCTCTCTCTTCTGTGGTTCAGGACGGGGGACTGTCCGTTGGCGATGGAATGGTGAGAGATGGGCGGTGATGCTTTGGCGGGATTGGAGGAGGAGGTAGTTGAAGAAGAGTTGTTGGTGGAGAGGTCTAAGCCGCCACCGCCACCCCCGCCACTGCCAGTGCCACTGTTGCTGTGTTTGATGCCGTTGTCTTCCATACCGTGGCCGCCGCCTCCGGTCACGTCCTTCCACAACTGCTGGAGCTCTGCGGGACTGAGGCCTGCTGGAGAAAGCAAAAAAAGAAAAGACGGGGAGGAGAGTAGGGGAAGGGAGAGCAAAAGTGGGTTGAGGAGGGAGGAGATGAGGGAAAGTAAGATGAAGAAGGGACAGTTAAACTTAGTACAGTATACTGTATCAATATGGCTGCTTAACTAAATGCAAACCATAGTAGTGAGCTCAAGCTTACACTCTGCAAACTTTATCCAACAGCCAGAAAAGTTGTATAAAACTGCACGACTCAAGGCTTTCTCCTCAGTGAGTGACTATCATCCTGTGCTGCTTCACTGCAGACCTGAGTTTGAACTCATACTGTGCCGATCAATAAAAACAAGTGTGTTCTTCTCCTCTACCCAGTTAGATACTGATTTGAACCTTTTAAAAGATCACTTGTGTAGTCCTCAGTCTCAAAGATCTGTGGGATTTCAATGAGGAAGAACTATAAAACATTGATTACAGTGAATGTGTTTGTGTTCCACCTAAGCTTTGTCCACTGCTTGTTTTTAAGCTGGGCAACTAATTAGGCAAAATTCACTTTGATTTCCCTCTAACATCTCCTTGCGTGTTGTTTTCTGTTTCCGCCATTTTGGTGGTAAACAACAAACATAGGTGTTTACTTGGCTCAGGAGGAGAAAATGGAGCCTGCTTTCCCCTCTCTGTCCTTTTATTTCTTCTCTTTCTCCTCTCCCTGGCTCTCAGTGAAGGCAGTAAACAACAACAACAACAACCGAGGAAGGAAGGAGGGGAGGTTGGGGAGCAGGGGAATAGAAACAGAGATGGAAAAACAACAAACACAAACATAGGCAGAGCAGAGCTGAGAGAGAAACAGAGGTAGACAAAAGAAAGCCACAGTCAGACAAGAAGACAGAGAAAGAAAGAATGGAAGACTAAACAAAATGATCATGTGGAGAGTTAGGGACAAAGTGGATGGCAGAAGAGCATACCAATGAGGGGAAGGCAGACAGACAGACATACTTAGAGATAACGCAGGGGGACACAGGTGCATACTAATGAGAAAAACAAAGACAGGCAGGATGGAAAGACAGAAGAGGAGTGGGACAGACAAGGTTGGAGATGTATGATGGAAATCTGACAGTGGGAAGGGACAATGACAGTAACATAAGAAGACACTTACACCTGCAGACAAAACACAAGAAGCATGTGACCACCACTGCTGCAAGTCACATGCTCAGGATTAACACATTTCCCCCTTCTCCCTCTTCCTCCCACTGCCTCTCCTCTCTTCACCTCCTTCTCCACCCTTCTCCTCCTCTTACCTTGCTGGGGCAGGGTTTGTCCAGGCAGGGCGGCTTGGCCGGGCGCGGGCCCGGGCAGCGAGAGCAGGCCCTGCCGCTGCATGTTGAGCAGGTGCTGCTGCTGCTGGAGCTGCTGCTGGGAAGACGAGCGCGGGCGCCATGCTGCTGCGCTTGCTGCTGCTCTGCTGTTGCATAGAGGAGACGAGGAGGAGAAGAAGAGCAGAGAGACGGAGAGGATGAGGAGGGGAGAGAAAATTACAGACGAATTAACAACTGAGGAGAGAGGAAGAGGCAAAGAAGACGGACGGTTTGTGCTTGTGGTGTGTAAAGTGTGTGTGGAGAGTCTGCACTCACTCGCTCTGCCGTGACCTTACTAGACCCTCCTCTGCCTCTCTTTCGTTCTCTGTCGCACCTCTCCTCTTTCTGTCTGGCCACTGTCTTCCCTCCGTTTTGGCGTACCACAGCGCTGATGCCTTCTCCCCTTTGCAGTGTGTCACGTCTAGTGAACGCACATTACACAGACACCAAAGCATTTCTGATATACCACTCCAAGCCTGTCAGTGGTATGCTGTGATTGTGTATGGATCTACTAATCCTCTGGTTATAATCCCCCATCCCGCAACCCACCCCCCTCCACCACCCCTGATAGTTAATTGTCTCGCCTTCACTGATGGTCTGTTACAGCTTATGTGGCCAGAGGGAGCTGGCAGAATGAGAGATTTACAGCATCACGTGCGTGTGAATGCATACACACAAGTGCAAACACACACACACACACACACAGACAAACGCACAAACACATGCACACTTCACCCCCCCCCCATCCCTACTCTCTGCTCTCCTTGCTGCCTCACAGAGTTGTTTATCGCCAGGCCAGACAGCCGATTGCGTAAGCCCTGTGCAAAACAACAACAAAAACAACAACAAAATGAAAAACATCAAATTCAGTCACGGCGGCAAAACAAGTCTGAGAGGCAGTGAATTTTAGGGAGAGACAAAAGCTTTGAATCTGAGCTGGAATGTCATAAATGCCTATATTAAATTAATTATGAAACACACAACTCAGGTAATAATTGGCTGTGCACACTATTAGATTTGAGGGAATATATATATTCAATCTTTCTAGTCAGTATTTTCAGAAGAGGGGCAGCATTTTTATTAGTTTTGAAAGTTTTTGCTCTCCTCTCCTGTTCATATACATATGTATGTGCATACAGCATGTCACGCTCATGTGTTTCTGTGTGTTTGTATCATGCTGGACCTGGAAAAGCATGGACGTGGAGGGACAGGAGGGGGTAAAACTTGTGATGCGCTCACTGGAAAACAGGCTGCATAATGGAGTGATGGTTTGCCTCCCCCCCCCCGCCTCAAGAGAAATAAGGGAGCAATTTCTATTCCATATTTGATGGCGCGGGCCCCTGAAAAACTCTATTCGCAAATCCAAACAGAAACAAAGCCGCCGGGAGGTCAGTGGCGGCTTCCTGTAGGGGCAGCATAATGGGCTGCTTGAGGAGACACTGAGAGGCGCAACACAGATAGAGAGAGAAAAAAGAAAGACGAGTGTGTGTGTGTGTGTTTATGTGATACCTTTTTTCTGATCAATTTAACTGCCTCCACACGTACAGTATTGCCTGGATGTGGCCCTGGACTGCCTCTCAGGGTTCAGTGCCGTGTGACACTCAAACACGGCTACGCAAATGTGGCTAAGGCTGTCATGTTCATCTCCTCCTCTCTGATAGTTAAAGAGAACGAGACGGAGCCATGCCTGTCGACCGGCTGCCCGTCACTGTGATTTATGAGCGTCGTGCGCCGTAACTTTAGCTCTGTTTCGTGTGTTTGTGTGTGTTTGTACACCTACGGAAACAGTTCATTAACGAGTTGGACCCAGGACCCTTTGTCTCTGGTCTCTCTTTCTATAAATCAGTGAGAATGTGTGAGTGTGTGTGTATGCGTAGTGTGTGTACGTCACTTGAAAGAATTTATTATTGGAGTCAGTGCCCAGGTTACCATACTGCGTGAAGGTAGCTGGAACTGAAGTAAAGTTGGAAATCGCTAATAACAAATTAACCAGCTGATTTTTTCCATTACAAATCAATAAATCCTTCATCTGAAGTGAACAGACAAAGGGAAATGTATGCTCTTGGTTGACAAAATGAGAATGGATTTATAGACTTACTTTAACTTCACTAATCTCATCTGAAGTGTGAGTGTGTGAGTGTGTGTATGTGGTGCCCGTACCTCTTTAACCTGCTTGCCAGGGTGTTGTTGCTGGAGAAGCTGCAGATGAAGCTGCTCCTGTTGTTTCTTATAAAACTCCTGCAGGTGTTGCTGTAAACACAGAATAAGATGATAAATTAATACTCTTAAATTAATACTTTATATAAGTACACATTTACATCGTCTTATATAGATACTTAAATAATGTTGTATTATTCATAGGCTATGAAGCAGGGATGCTCAAAGATGTGCAACTAATGGATTTACTTTCAAAAAACCTCAAAGTACGTAGATCTCTTATAAACTAAACATTCTGTCTTAATCTCGCCTGCTTGCTCCAGCTGTACTTCACATGTTGGTTATGGAGAAACTGTTGCACATTATAAATAAAATGTTCTACTGCTTTTGGCATTTGTATCCTAGCTGTCTTTCACAGTCCTCTCCATATGGACTTTTAATAGTCCCACAGTTCTGTAGGGGGCAACAATTCATCATATTAACTACACATTTGGCAGCCACAGTGCACTGGCTTCCTTTGGAGTGGCTGAAATAAACAGAATAAACCCTCTCTGGAACAGGTCCGCTACATTGAACTGATTCCTTTAACATACATACCGTGACAGATATTTAGACAATGATTTTAGTTTTATTTCATGTTATCTTCAGATGGCTTTTTGGCCTGGAAGAGAAGTCCATGAAGTACGCCAATGGAGCGCACGGTCCACTTCTCTGCTAACTACCATAGAAATATCCACACCATTTCACAGATACTAATATCATAAAGGAATGGGAGCCCTTGTAGCAATTGCAAAAAAGTTTTGTACTCACTTAATCAATAACAGAAGTTCACTCTTTGCTGACTGAGGAGAAGTTTTGACCTTGTGATTCCTGTCAATTTAGCATTATGGATACTTAATGTTCTGTATAGCAAATTCCATTTAAGGTGCTTCGCTCTGTTAAAACGTTATCCTTATTGAAGTGTAGAAAAAATACGTAAACAAAAAAGTGACTTTAGTTGCTGTGAAAAGGGCAATGTAAAGGCACGGCATTGTGCTGAAACCAAATCTAGAGTCTGAGGGCTCTTAATGAAGAATAATAATCAGAATGACATTTTTAATTAAACCATTCTCTTTCCCTTAATCAAATCTATGAATGAGAAATGCATTTCAACTCTGACACCAGACTGTGCCAAGTGTGTGCTTTCTCAAGCTGATTCCAAATATTACATCATCCACCGCTTATCATTCAACTTCTGCTGCTCAACCCAACTGTGCCCTACTCTCTCAGTCCCTGATGGATGCTTGTCAGGGAATTGAACCAGCGACACACTGGAGACGATTAATTAGAGGTGACACAAACAAGTACGTCAATTTCAGATTCCTCTTGGTAAGCGTGTCAAGGACACAGGACTGCGGTGAGTTGGCATGAGCGGCTGGTGGCTGCGATACACTGGAGCACGGGAGTGACTCAGGGTTGTGTCGGGGTATAAGTGTGTGTTTCGTGTATGTTTGCACAAACCAGAAAGTCATGCCAAATGGGGGTGTAGGTATATATGTGTGCAGAAGTGGGTAATCATGTGTCCGTGGTGTCTGTGTATCTAGATCACAATGAGTTTGTGTGCATCTGAAACACACCAGCCCACTTGCATCTAGGTGTGCGTGTGTCTGCATGCGGCGCAGTGTTTGTGCCTAAATATTTGTCTAAGGGTGCGTGTATTTAAGCGTGAGTGTGTGCGTACCTGCTGCAGCATTACAGCCTGCTGCTGTTGGAGCAGGGCCTGGAGCTGCTGGGGGGAAAGGACCTGCTGCTGGAGGATCTGCTGCATCTGTTGTGGCGTTATCACCTGGGGACTCATCATGGCCACTGACACTGGAACCTGGACAGGGAGGATGAGAGAGGGTGGAAAGTAAGAAACGGGCATAAGGGTGTGGGCGATGGACAGGATTGGGTGTGAAAGGAGAGATAGAGAGGGTGAGAGAGAAGAAAGGAGAAGAGAGAAGGGTAAACAATGAAAGCACACGAGTAAAATGGATGGAGGGACGAGTTAAAAAAGGAGAAAGTTGGAAAAATAGATCATTAGAGACGTGCGTCAGGCCTACTGGCATGGATCTACTGGGAGTGTGGTAATTGGTGACTGAGAGGTAGGGAGAGCAGGCCTCCCATGGCCGCGACGCTTGGCAGCCTAGAGGAGATGCTGAAGGACAGATGGGTGCTGTGCCTTTGTGTTGCTCATCTTATTTTGCTCTGCCTCCACCCCGCTGGGAAAAGTGCGAGATTTAAATAGACATAGACCTTAATTAGCAGGACCCTTGAACTCCCCCACTTTAGCATGCCTATCAGTGCTGCTATTGTGAAACACAGTGAAATGTACAACTCTATAAAGTTGATTCAAACTACACTGATGAAGTGGACACGGAAAGATCAGAAAGATGTAATAGGTGGCAGCTGGGAGGTTGGGGGTTCATCCAAAGCCATTTTTTATGCTGGAAGGGAGGGACGTGTGGGAAGTGTGATGGAAACAAAACATGAATGCTTCTGTTCATGTAGTTCGTGTAGTTTTTTTTTTTTTTTTACTAAATTTCTTCTCCAGTGAACAAGTTTTTCAAGTTTCACATCTTCACACAAGCAGCCAAAAGCACAAGTGTTTATTGCTCTCTGCTGACGTGCCATTTTGAAAGATTTATGTCACTTTTTGGTGGTAATCATTAAAACACGAGCTGTCAGTTCACCAAAACAAAACAAAGATACATATCCTGTATTTCCGGCAAATTCTTCTGAAGACGGAAGCACAAGCGACTACTGAGGCAGCACATCAATGGAAAAAAGGATATGTTTCCCTTCGGTCTTTGATAGTATGCACACATTCCAACTGGGGAGTGTGGGCTAACAGTCATATCACGGAGTTTCGGCTTCTCGTGGCTGCTTAAAAATTTAACAACTTTTGGAGAGAGAAGATAATAACTGTTCAATTCTGTTTACCTTTCAGTAGTGTTACGGAAAATAAAATCAACATGAGTGAATGATTTAGTATCCAACACAATGCAACCACACATTGCCCCAGTTGATTCACCTTGACACACTTCAACTGACTGACTGAAATGACTCAAATCACCTCTTCCTTCCTGTTCTGCCCTTTAAAATGGAATGTAGTCAAGCTAAGACACAAAATAGTTTGATATTTCTAGCACAATGAGTTTTAACATGTATTCGGGCCGAATGTTGTATCTTGTCAACAAAGATTGTTGACTGACAAGCTTTACAATACTATAAACACAATTAAAATATCAACATGTAGTAAAACCTTCACGGACGCTAATTGCGACAGTGTCTGGCATAGAGCTGCCATGACAGTAGCTAGCCTATATGGCGTGTCAAGGGGCCAATAAGACATCCCTGTCCTCATCGCCAGCTAATCAAGCTGCCTTGATTACTTTCCATGCATGTCTCTCCTCCCTCGCTCCTTCTTTCTCTCCCTCTCCCTCTCTCTCTGTCAGGCCTTGACACGTCCTTGTTTAGCTCTCCTCTCCTCGACGCCCACCCCCCACCCCAGGTTTTCCCCCCTCTTTGATTAGCCGAGACATTTGCATGGTCACTACACATTTTTCATTTTAGAAGTCATTATGCATTAGTGGCTCCTGATCGCCTGCCTTGACTAATCCTGATGAACTGAAAATCACAGCTGAAGGTCAACTTCCAGCCGGCCCCGCTGCACATTCATATTCATATTCAAACAAATCCTGCCTCCATTGTTCATTAGGGTCTTAGAGAGAAGGGACTCCATCTAAGGTGGGAGAGGTGGAGGAGGAGGATGTTGTGGTACATCTCTTTTCTTCTCTGGACTCCTCTATGCAAGAGTGCAAAAAGAAAATGCATTCACAATAAGCGAGGTGCTGAACAAAAGCCGTCAAAAGTTGCAAATTAAACAGTCCGTGTGTAATTATGCAAATGCTGTGCTTACACCTTCAATGTTATTAACCCTTAAAGGTACATTTGCTAGGTAAGTAATTACCCCCGCAGTCACTCCTGGTTTTGTGTTGGATGCCATGACAATGGGACGAGTGCAGCTGAGAAACAACATGAGTGATGCACTCATTAAGACTATTAATTGGATGCTGGCTAAAAGATGTTTTGGTTCACAAAAGGGATGCAGGCTTAAACATGTAGGATTTAACACAAATGTATGCGCATGCATATGTAAAGTGGAATTAAATATAAAGTCTGCATTGTTCTTCAAATGCTTGTAAGTGATGAAATACAGGCATTCACAGTCACATACTGACTGTAACAAAGAACAGCAGAAAAATAGCAAACAAACAGGTTATGAAATTGGGAAGTTACTCTTACACTTATATTAGCTTTTTAGAGACGTAATGGGTGATAATCATCTTCATTTCACCACTGTTCCAAACAAAAAGAGGGGAAGACAAGGGGAGAAAAGGCAGGAAGAAGAAAGAGAAAGGAGAAAAGGCACTGGCCCAGGTCCATTGTGAAGTGCAGCACAATGCTAATTCCAGCATTTAACTGCATGCTTTTCTGCTTGACGTATCAGAGGCTCCAAGATGAAAGCAGATAAGTAATTGCTCTCCTGGTTCTTATTCTTCACTGACAACCCATAAATTTAATTTTACACACACGTTCATTTACATTTTCAAGTATATGACATGATAATTGCAGGAATATAACACCTCCATTTTGCAGGATACCGCACGAGGGCTTGATTGACGGGAGCGGTGAATTGAAAGGAACAGGAGGCTGAATTGCCTCTCCTAGAAATGATTTTGCCACGAAGGGATAAAATTAATGAGCATTTACTCAACGATGGCAGTGGCGTAAACATCCACACACCGTGAATAGACTCTCTTTCATAGGAGAGGAGCCCTGATATCCAATTGGGCTGGGCCTCTGTTCCTATGTAATCCAAAAGGATATATTTCCAACACTGGTGCACAACAATTTTTAATGGGATTTTTTTAAATCGTTTGAAATTAGCTATAGCTGATGTGGCCACTGGAGACCTAAATATCAAAAAAGGGGCTTCTCCTGTTTTTAATAGTGCAATTTTGGATGGAAGACAGTAATTTGCGAATTACTTTTGATCAAGTTATTTGAATATAACCCCTGCTTTGCAGCCATTTGTGAAAAACATGCTTGTGATTAACTGTGTTCACCATTTGAACCCCTATTTGTTTATGTCCCTTGTCTTAAAGAGAATGATGAGCTGTATTGACATGAACTTTGAAGCCATGTGGCATGCCCTCAAAGTTGGAGAGCAAAACAAAGGACCTTTAAATTGGCTCCTGATGTGAAAACACTGGTGGGGCCCTCACCAGAACAAGCAGATCATTACACCACTCTTGTCACACCCGCAGCCTGTAACCAGCCTCTCCAATGCCTCGCAAAAGGTCAAGCTCTTCCACAGAGAGCTCAGGTATCTCTTCCAGGCAAAGCTGGCACCCAAGTCTCTTGTTATGTTTGACTTAACTGGGCATTCTAGCATTAAATGCAGAACACTGCGTCTCCACTGTATGCTGCTCACTGGCTGGATAACACAGCTGTCTGCCTCTAACTATGTGGACCGATGGACAAATGCACTTCCAGCGATTACGTCCACTCCACTGTGTGGCGCTTTATCTTTACAGCCGTGAGTTTTTATGAGTGAACTCAAATTACCTAAAGCAGGAGATAAGTGCTGTATCAGAGTTCAAACTTAAACAATTAAAGTCCAGCTGAGAGGAATTCCTTTTATTCGATTTCCTTCCATACAATTCACTTAGCAGTAATAAGCAGGAGGGAAACTAGTGATTAGATGTCGGCCATAAACATTGTTGGGGCAACGAACACGGTGCAGTTATCAACGAGAGTTTGTTCCTGCAGTGCTGGACAGGGATTGAGATGCAGCTACACACACTGCTAAGATAAATACAATGAGAAATGGAAGGGTCCTAGTAAGTAATTACTGTGGATCCTTGGCAGGGAAAGTCACTGCTAATTAAGCCACAAGCTTCGTTTTACACACAGAAAAAAATCGAGAAAAAAAAGAGAGAAACCCCTCCACCGCCACCTCCCGTCCCCCATTTCATCTCAATCTATTGAGCATCCCAGGGGGTTGACGGGCCCAAACTCAGACCTCCCCTGCCTCATAGCTTGTGGACTTCTGACCTCTCAACTCCCTTTCAGCTGACACTGCTCATTTACTAGCCAATTACTGCCAAATATGGCCACGCGATTATTGATAGCTGGGACTCTTCACTAAAGGACCACCAAGGCTACAGTGAGGCCGGCCTGGTGAGTGTCTCGCTCTGAAGTTCAAGTATGTTGGTCCGCAAGAGGTGCATGCATGTGAGCCACGTTCACTCTAACGCATGTCGTGTTTTCAGCTTAGGGAGATCAATACTCTAGATTGTCAGGACTGAAGCTAAGTGGATTACTGAATGTTTTCCTAAATCAATTTCCATAGCAGTTTGGCAGCAGTGCATGGGAAGTGCAATTTATCATAACATAAAGACCCATCATGTAAAAGCCTCTAATAAAAAGCCTGAGGAGATTGGGACGGGCTTAGCACAATTTCCATATTGATTTATCTCTACATGCAGATAGTCATTGATTAAGCCTCTTGAATGTAGTGTACACCACTGTAGCAGCGTCACATCGCTTGTGCACATTGTTTGTGTCATTATCGGTACAAATTGTCGCACCTTTATCGTTAAACTGGCACAATTCGCCCCCGACTGATGCCTCCCTGCAGGTGCACATATTTCAAGAGTTAATGGAAGTGACAGATAGAGGAGAGGGAGAGAATTAAAAAAAGAAAGTGCAGAGGGAGGAGAGTGCTGAAATAGAAATAAAGTGAGAGAGAGAGCACAAGTGAGAGCGAGAGGGGGGTAGACACTTCCCTCTGATGTTGCAGGTAATATGGCCTCCACTGGATCAGCCTCTTCATCAGTGACACACAGTAAATTACAAGTGCTTCAAGCAGCTCAGTGAATTATAGTTCATCACTTGGAAAGGCTTTCCCCCTCACCACCGGGGCCCAGGCGTATCAGATCTGCCGGTTAGGATCCAATTAACACCCTGGCCAGAATCATCTGATTGCATGTGTAAGGGCTGGTATAACTCGTTTATTGCACCCATGTATCTTCTGTCACAAGGTAAATTTGTTGCTGCTACATCAAAGGTCTGAGCTACTTTTTTTTGTGCTACCCTTCCCTCCCTCTCACTTTCTCTTGATCCCCCACCAAACTCAGCTACCTCGCCTTGGGGTTGCATTTCAACTTCTTTTGCATCACAATGATGAACCTGCTCTGTCCTCGCAATTTAGCAATCTTGTCCTGTAGGTGTTGTAAATGCAGGGAAAAAAGAGAGGTGGGGTGTGGGAGATGGGGAGTGAAAAAAAAAATCTTGTTTTCTGGTTACAAAAGCAGTAACCAAGGGTGTTTGACTTAAAATGTGCTGACGTTTTTTTTTCTCTCTTTCTCTCTCAGAGTCAACAGAAGTTTTCCTCATGAATAACATAATATTTTCCCCCTCTCTTTTTTCCCTTCGTAGTGATAATTTTTCTCTATTTTCAGATCCAACCAGAGGGGATGCAGTGGAAAGATATATTCATAAATGTAAATGTGAAATACCATCCTTTAGCCACGCACGCTGGAGTCAGCTAACCTATACTCAAGCCTAGCGTCGCAGCCCTTTTCCCTGCATCTGTGTGTGTGTTCCAGATGAAAGCCAATAAGCAGATGAATGCTGCTATCGAGGTGATATTGGCTCAGTGGTGAAAGTGTGGACCTGACCTTTAAAAAGTGTGACACTTCCTAAGATGGCCCAGTGCCCAAAAGCAATCTGGCTGGGCTGGGAAGAAAGCTGTAGAATTTACAGAAAACAGGGCTAGACCAACATCTCTCCTGATCCATATGCCAACCATAAAACCTTAAATATTTTCATTCATACTTAGAGTGCAGCATAGCACAGATGGGGACTGAGGTTATTAGTCTTGTAAAAAAGGTATTCACAGCTTGATAGTGTGAAAGGGGCAGAGCAGCAGTCGCAACACTTGCTTGGGGTGAGCTCTCCGGTGTTCAATGGTTACGAACTCGACGTTAACTGCTGGGAGGAGGAGTCAGGCGCTACCTTTACACTGTCGAGCCCCCATCTGGCACACTCACGAGAAAGAGTTGGGGCTCATTCTGGCTGTTTTATATGTGCCCACCTGACATATAGAGGTGGTGGATGTGTCACAATGGCAGCCTCAGGGTGACATGTTAAGAGCAGATGTGGTAAGATAGTCGGATGTGTTTGGGTGCCACCGGTTACAGTTGATTTTGTGGGATTTCTGCTGAGACTTGAGCCTTTCCTCCAAATATGGAGAACAACCATGTGTTAAGCTGCTTTAAGTCCAACTCTGCACTGTTCCTTATCAATAATGATCAATAAAGCCACTAACAAACATGACTTCTACAAAGTCACTTCTGGAAATTTGAAAACTTTAAGTAACTGTCATTGTGCTTGTGTTAGCGTGTGAGTGCAGGCTGTGTGTAGATGCATTATGTACGCGTGTGTGTACGAGCGAAACAACTGTCAGATTCATAGGCCACTGTAATCCTCTCCGCCTCTCCTTGTCCGCGTTTCTTTATTTGTATTCCAAATGTCAGTGTATAAATGCCTTTCAGAGGTGGGGGGGTGGTATTGCCACAGAGAAGAAGAGAGCGAGGGGAGAGAGGAGCAGAGGAGAATGGAGCAGACACGAGAGGGTGTTGTGTGCCTTGGGAGAGCCGTGTAAGCAGCATGGCGGAGGCAGGGGGATTTACAGGGAGAAATAGGTGTTTATTGAGTGCTCCCGTGGGCTTACTGTGTAATAATAGACCTGTCACATTACGCAAATGTGGAGAAGCAGCTTGTGTGTGTTTGTATGTGTGTTTGTGGGACTGTTTTTTTTTTTTTTTTAAACTTGTGTGCGTGCGTGCATGTGAATGCCAAAGCTGCCTGCCTCCGCATCATCAACTACTGAGAAGCAACGATGAGCGAGCGGATAGAATTAGTCAGGCGAGAGCCTTTAGCTGCTAATACGCGTAATTAAAACTGCAAGCTGAGGCACTTAGATGCTTGTGTACTAAATAATTTACATGCCATGATCTATGGATCATTTCCCGCTCTTAAATACCAAAGATGGGAGAACAAGAGGGAAAAAGACTGGCAGAGGATTTATCAGTATCTCTACCATAAGCAGGATGTCATGGTAATATTAATCCTTTTCCCACTTTCTACTGTGCTAATCATACAAGGGGATCAATCCGCGTGATTCCTCCAGTGGAAAACATGCAGCTTGATTGCCACTGACTCTTATCAAGCCATGAAACTAACAAAACACTGCAATATAGCACCCATTGTGGCCTCATAATCCAGGTAAATAATGCAACTTTATTGGTTAAACTCCCTCAAGATAAGAGGGAATAAATAGAACAATAAGAACAGCTAAACAAGGTTTTTTAATCAAGTAAGAGTTTCTACTGCTTTATACTGATATTTGTACAATGGAGTATTACTGCTAAAATGTCATTTGAAATGAGTGGATTGAAGGGCGCACAGCAACATCTTCCCACTGTAGAAATGATCTTGAACCAGAATGCACTGAGCACTGTTTGTGCTAGTGTATATCACTGGAAGAGTCGGCAGTGCATCTCCCAGGACTCTCTGCATGGAGACTTTTTGGAACAAAGAGGTGAGGGTGTTAATAAAAGCTGGATCAACAGATGGATTAGTTGGTGGCTGAGGACAGGCCGATCGGCAGACCCTCCGATTCATATTGATTCATATCGCCAATGCGAGGCAAGGATGGAGTAAGCAAATGTAAATATTCAATATTTACCATCTGCTGGTGTTATTAGAGGCAGGGGCTCGGACGTGGGCCGACGGTTATCATGCACCCACACAGCTCTCATTCAATATTGTTCCTCCTGCCGTGTATGTATTGTACTTGGTGACTATGCAGGCATTTGTAGATCAGGATCCCATTTGTTTGAATCCATTCGCTTTGGCATACAGAACCCCAAAGAGGAGAAGTGCAATAGACCCCTACAATAAGCTACCGAGAGCTTTTGTTTAATCAACAATTAATTTTTACCCCACAGCTAAATAAAAAATATACACTCAAATAAATAAACTGATGCCACCGTGTGTGAATATACTGATAATATTAACGCTCTTGATGAGGTTGAGTGGAATTATTTAAATGCAAAAGCATGACTGAGTCTTTGCCAACCTTATCTCTTTGCCAGTACGTAATTAGGTACACAGGGGTGTGACTCCAATTGAAGGTGTCGCCATTGTTAGACTCTGTGAAAATATCAACGGGTGAGGTTAACGCCAATTTCCCTGACATTAATGAAATGCACAGAGCCCCTAATGAGGTAAACCACTGCTCCTTGATAGTACTTATTAGCCGAGTGGAGGGCACAAACTCCCACACTTCAATTTCAAACGGCTAAAAATAAATTAAATAAAAAAATACTAATAATAAAAACATGGAGCAGATGTCAAGGGGCCTTACATAATTTGAGGCAGGAAAAACCTAACTAACTGAATGTTGACTTAAATGAGCAGAATGAAAAGACCCGCTAGTGTGAGAAAAAAATCTTAACACCAGGAAGAAAGAGGATTGCAGGCAATGTGTTAATGTTCAATGTGTGTGAGAGTTTGGTGTCGGTGTGCAACTGTTCCTGTGTGTGTGCGCGCATATGTGTGACCTTTTCCAAATCACTGACAACAGAAATAGACAGCTCTATGAATCAATAAGCAAATTAGCATTGAAGAGTGGAAATGACAGGCAGTTAAAATTAGCTGTCTGTGTAACCCACTAGTTAGGCTGACATGTCTTTCAAATAATAACTAACCTCTGGATCTTCCTGTGTCAGCAACACTATGGATCTAGTGTAGAAAGGCATCACCTACAGTACTGTGTGCAACTACTGGATATACTTTTAGTGTTAATTATTGTCCAGTAAATAGTTTTTGACAAGTAAAATGCAGTCTTGAAGGTAGACAGGTGGCCTTTGGATGAAATTTTGCTCTTTTAGATCTGTCTCTGTTTTGTTTTTTCTTGTGTCCATGTGATGCTTAGCCTCCTGGAGACTGGCTTGTCCAGCTTTAGGATTCCAATGGCAGGTCCGAGGATTGCGTTGGCAAATCAAACACACTTGTGGAACAGAGGAAATCTTCTTTTCGGAGGAGCATGTATTATGGATGGACTTAAGAGATTAGACGGGGAGCTGCTTTACCTGCAGTGGACGCTGCTTGTCCTGGCTCTTTGGAGATTTCAGGCCACTGCCTGGCTGCTGCAAGAGTAATTGCCTCGCTGCTTGTAGGGCCTGGGAAGAAAGGAACACAAGACAAAAGGCAGTGTGAAAAAAAGAGAAAGAAAGAGGAGAGGGAGGAAAAGAGACAGTGAAAATAAACTATTAGATTTCCTGCAGCTGACAGCAGATATAATTCAAATTTTCAGGGACAAAAAGCGTCATCTCTGCCTGAAAACCCTGTATCAGCTGGTGTTTTGCGCAACACATTCTGACGCAGTTAACACTATGTTGGAGATACCTTTTAGTAACAATTCACAGAGCTGTGATCAAGGATAAATACTGTTTGTCTAGAGCATCTCTGAAGAAGAGGGTGGAGGGGGTGGTGGGCTGAAAAAATAAAAAATAAAAAGGGAGAGCGTCAGTAGAATTGACCTGTCTAGTGTGTGCTCAACTGAAATACCCACTTCTCTCGGCAAATTACCGCCACATTTGCATATTCATAATATCAATTTGAAGCAGAGGCAGCACCATGTGAAGTGTCCCTGGGAGCTGTAATTAAAGTTGACAAAATCAACATCAGATTACATTTAGAGTGAATTAACTAGCAGCACAGGTTTTACACTATGCATTACCGGATGCTTATGAGCTGAGGATAGGTAATAAATAGACAGAAAGATGGTCAGACGGATAGAGAAAGAGAGACCTTTCCCTGCCTGATGAAATTAGTTCACGGCTGTTTACACATGGTAGAAAAAAAACATATTTGTTAGTTGTAAAATTTGTCTTGAAAACATTTTCATGTGTTTGCCAGACATGGAGATGATAAGAATCAGAGGGGCTGGGATGTGGTGTAATTTTTTCCTCTCGGGTTTGATGGGATTACAGATCCCCTCCCGCCTGGCTGTGTGTACTGAATGTGTGTGACGAGCGAGCTCCAGCTTCACAGGTACGGTGGCAGCTGGGCTAGCAGCTTCACTCCAATTCTTCAAGAGCAGATGGATGAAAGAGTCTGGCAGAAAAGAACATTGTGCACAGCTGCTACTACTGCTGCTGCTGCTCACAACGGCCGCATATGCTTGTTATCTTCAGGCCCATGAGCATCAAGTGGGGGAAAAAAAAAAAAAGAAAAAAAAAAAAAAAAAAAAAAACGACGTACTGCATCACAGCAACACAACACAAAACACAACAACAACTTCACAGGTAGTTTCCTTTTTTGAGAAAAAGAAGAGGACGAGTAGGACGCGCAGAAAGCAAGAAAAAAGAAAAAAAACTCAGAATGGAGAGTCGACACTGTCCTCAGGAATCAGGGGTGGCTCCGTTTTAATTTTCCTGGGTTTGCCCATCATCCATCGACAACGCAGCTGCCCTTCTGACAGGGAGCGTGCATGATGGCGCAAAGCTCTGCCAAGCTGGTGGGAACCAATGTTTTGAACGTCGAGTACTTGAGATCTGCAAACAAGGAGGCAGAAGACAGAGAGAGAGAGGGCATAAAAAAAAAAATGAGAGGGGAGAAAAAAAAAAAAGTTGCCAAATGTTTTTAACCTCAGGGAACGCCAGCCCACCCCCCCTGGATCAAGGTTTATACGAAGACAGGAGCTGGAGAGGGGGCGGGGGGGGGGGGTTGTCTTTGGAGAGGTGGGTTTGTTGTTGGGGTCAGGAGGAGCCAGGCTCTGACTAAAGTAAAACCAAGAACACTTACACTGGCGAGGTTGGTCCTAAACCTGCATTGATTACCGTCTCCTTGGAAGAGGAAGCCTA